CTTCACTACTTTCTTAGGTAAATGCAATCGACAAAAAAAAAATCAAACAATGATTTGTTTGCTGATTTCCCCAGTATAAATGCTCACATTGAATATTTAACAGTTGGTTTTTGGAAGCTGTTGAAGCTGGCTCCAGCACATTCCTGATTCCAACCTACCTCTCCAATCTGACCCAGCAATCTTGACTGAGAAGGAAACATACCTTCCACCCCTTGGCAGAGAGGTCAAAGAATTAATTTGTCAAGCTAGACATGCATTCTCAGCATGGCCACTGTATTGATCTGTTTTACCTGACTACACATATTTGTTATAATAGAACTCTTCCATTCAGAGAACAGGGAAGGAAGATAGATTGGGAAATAATATTAGACACTGATAAAAGAAATAAATTTATGATACTTTATTCACTGATAGTTACTAAACAAGGTCATATGATTGTATTAATGTTCAATATGAATTGACTTGAACCTAGTCTTTCTTGCCTTCAAATTTGGCCTCTCTCCATTACGCCATACTGGTTCTTAATTCATAAAGATAATTACTAAAGCAAAACAAAGACCTTCTTGTGAATTTTCTACTTTTCACCTCAACTTTTCATTGCTTAAAGTCTAAAGACCTTGTAAGCACAATTTAACGACAGCTCTCAGTTTAGTGTTTCCGGTGCTTATCACAAGAGCAGATAACTTACTCTCAGCATCACTGATGGGTGTGGGGCCCAAGCCAAGATCTTCACCCCTTGATCCAAAGGGAATCTGACTCCCATTTGTCTACAGGCCCCAGACCCTCATCTCCCTTTGAAAGCCTTAGCTTACTTTTTAATCTTATTCAGATGTGCCTTTGCCCCTCTTAATAAAAGAATCTGGCTCCCTTTTGTCTATAGGCCCCAGAAAGGCCTTACTCTTGGTCTCAAACAGTTCTTTATTGACTCCCCTTATCTCCCTTTGAAAGTCCTAGCCCCACCCTTTGGTCTTGTGCAGATGCCTTTCAAACTTCTGCCTTCCTGTTCCCTCCATTAGCTATTCCCATTGTCTGTTCAATCTCTCAGACCTCCCCAATTAGAATTCTTACCTGGACCCTTTTCCCCCCCAGCCCCTTCTCCGGCAGCCCAAAGTTACTTCAGCATATAAAAATCCACCCTGGCCCCCACTCAGACACTGAGAATCTCAAGCTCAAAAGGCTGAGATTTTCTCATGCCTGCTTGTTCTTATGGACGTCACCTGGCCTATGTGATTATCACTAATAAACTTTTCCTCTGGCTGAAGAAGATTTGAGTTGAATTCATTCAGGCAGGGCCCGGTACCTCGATTTTGGGTTTGCAGCACCCCGAAAACCCTAGACCTCTTCATCACTAATGGCCCTCTTTCTACCTGTGTTTCCATTTCAGTTGATTTTGAAAAGGCTTTATCCTTCCCCACACTTGGGCAGGGCTGACTGACACTTAAGAAGCCACTGGAAACAGACTAGTTGTTTTCAAATGGTCCCCAACATCTCGCCTTCCATACATTCATTCATTTCTTCTTTCATTCTGCAGGTAATTACTGAAACTCTACCATGCATGCATACTGAAGGGTGTGGGGAAGGGGAACAACAAGCCTATGTCTCCCCTCTGGAGGAAGCAGAACCATCTAAGGGAGGAGAGGTAAGTAACCTTGCAGGGGAGACTAGTGTGAGTGCCGGAAGTTAGTGATGCCATCAATATGTATCTGGGAAATCATTTCTGACTGGAGCAGCAAGAGACCACTCTCATGAATGGAAGGCAACCATGTGGTCATGGGAAGAGTACTGATTTGGGATCAAAGACCTGGGGTTTTTAATGTTTTACTTTTCAACTAACAAGCATTTTTTCTCTCCCACTAGCCCACCCCTCAACTTAAAAGAAAACCCAAACCCTCAAAACAAATATGCATAGCCAAGCAAAACAAATTCCTACATTGGCCATGTGCAAAAACACATTTCATTCTGCATCTTGAGTCCATCTCTTCTCTGTCCAGAAATGGTGAACATGTTTCATCAAGAGACCTCTACAATGTTTGGTAATGACATCTATCAGAGATCTTCAATCTTTCAAAGTTGTTTAAAAGACAGTTTCCAGTTTGCCTCTGCTGCTTAGCCCTGTAACCTTGGAAAAGTCACATTTCTCGGAGCTCCAGTCTCCTCTTCTGAGAGAAATGAACAATCATCTCTGGTCTATCTCCTTCACAGAGTTATAGGATCTACAGCTGGAAGAGAGCTCACAGGCCAACTAGTTCAGTCCCCACATTTTACAGTTGAAGAGACTGAGGCTCAGGGAAATTTGACAACTTGCCCAACGTCACCACAGATAGTTAGAATCGGAGGCAGGATTTGAATCCAAGTCCTCTCTGACTCCTAAACCAGAGCTCTTTCCACTATGCCACGCAGCCTCCTACTGTGAAGACCAAATGTGTATAATGTATATAAAACCTTTCAGTGTTTATATACAAATATAAATTCATATTGCCATTATGACTGCCTCAAGCAGACAAGTTGCATAGTGGTTAGAATGTTGAGTCTGGAATCAGGTAGTCTAAGTTCAAATTCCCTCTTTGACATTTTCTATCTACATGACCATAGACAAACTTCTCAACCTATAGGAGACTCAGTTTCTTCATCTATAAAATGAGGATAATTATTGTGCCACCAAGCTCATAGAGTTGTCCTGACAGCATGTGTGTGTATGTGTGTGACAGTATATGTAGTATGTTGCTAAATAAATTCATTAAAATTATTATCATCTGCATTTCAGGTTAGATTTTCCCCACATGTCTGCATCACACACCACACAACCCCCCTACAGTTGCCAGTAAAGCTCTATTGGGAGGTAGAGGAATTAATCTTAGCAAAGATATATCCCCACATCCCCAGCAGGAGCCCTCAAAGGACTTCACTCATCCATATGTAAGGATTACAGATTTTCTGAGAGTGAGGGAGTATGTTCCTAGAGTCAACTCTGCATTATCCAGAAAGAAGGGTGGTAAAGGTAATCCAAAAACCCCTTATAATCCAAAATTCTTTTGTATGTTTGACTTTGGGCATATAATTGGGAGAGAAGACTGCATTTTTCCTCACAATGCCATCATTAAAATGAGTTTACTTTTCCTGCCCAGATTGATCCTGAGGACAATCTATGAATCTCCTAGGGAGAAATGACCTCCTTTCCATAATCTACTGCTGTCTCACTACAAAGCATGAACTTGCAGCGCCCTCACTAAAGAAGGAAGTCGATTCTTCCCATCGCTGAACAGGCGCTGAGCCACTTTCACCTCCCCTCAAAGCCTTTCAGATCCAGCTATGTAAGCCTGTCTTTCAGAACTATTGTCTTGCTCACACTGTAGGGGTGTCTTGAGGGATAGTATGAGAAAATAGGTGTGAAAATGCTTCAGGGAGTATAAATCACTAGCTACCCAGCAAACACGTGTTAGTGTGCTTATTACTGGGGGTTTTTTTCCTGTGGGGTTCATCTCACATCAGCACCTGTTAAGCAATTTATTGTCTGGGGGCTTTCAAAGAGTCAGAGTCAGTAAGTACAAGAGGTAACACTTGGGACCTAGGTTGGCTGGCTCCTGGGACATCTCTCTATGCCCTGCTGGTGCTGCTTTCATATCAAGGTGGCCATTCACAATAAATGTCGGTTGAAGTTGAAGTACCTACTGCATAAATGTAATGCAAGCTCCTTGAGAACAGTTTTTATTCGAAGTCTTTGTATCCTTGGCACCTAACACAATGCTTGGTACATACAGTAGGTGCTCAATAGATGATTTGGGTGACCTGGTTGGTTGCAGAACAGTGCTCTAGGTAATAAGGAGATAGAAAGTCTTTATGTAGCTAGTTGTGGAACAAGAAACACACATAATAACTGTTTCTATGTGTTGTTACAGGATAAGTTCAATGGGGAGAGAGATCAGAGATTGGTCATTGAGGAGGTGGCATTTGAGTTGGGGCCTTAAAGAGTGGGTAGGATCTCAATAGGTAAAGTAGAGAAAGAAGACATTCTAGAGCCAGAGAGTATCATAAAAGGTAGGAAGCGTGCCTTTAATTAGGCATGTGCTGGACTCTTCGGGGACAGGGATGTCCAGTCCTTCTGGAGTGTAGAATGAGTGGAGGGGAAGAATATTAGATAGGATCGAACGGGTCAGTGATGCCACATTTTGAAGGGCTCTAAAGACTTTCCTTAGTATGCCTTAGGGAGCCACTGAAGATTTGGGGGCCAAAGAATCATGTGCCCAGAGATTCAAGATCTTCTTCGGATTGGGTGATCGTAGTTCTCAGGACTTCTCCCTGGGGTCAGGTTTGGGTACTGGTTGTGGGCATGAATTGCCCTCAGGATCTTTCCCTCCAGGGTCATCCCTCGATGGGGTTGGGGCGGGGGTTGTCGGGGAGGCGGACGGTGAGGGAAAAGGGCCCTCTCCGTTCGACTCTCGGGAACAGGCCGTCAATGTCTGGGCGTGAGAGACAGCAGCTCAGAGATAGCCTCCTGGTCCTACCTTCGCCAGTTGCCCCACCCTCGTATCATACTTCTTTGCCAGCCCCGAGTTCAGCCCAACCCCGTGACCCCAAAGTACTCTCCCAGTCCCCCCCCCACGCCCAACCTGAGCCCACGGAAAGTGCACCTCCAGCACAAACTGAAGCCAACTCACACAAAGATAGAGACATATATAATTGCCATTGGGATCATCCTCCATTCACCCAGCAGCGCACGCGCGCCAAATACTCCCTTGCACGCGCTCACACACTCATATACATACACACACTAGCGCGCACACACATGCGCATACATACATACATACATACATACATACACACACGGGCGCGCACACACAGAGGATTGCAAACTTCCTCCTCCCCTAAGACGCGAGCGCGCGTACACGGACACACACTAAATAGGACACACACACCGCCACCTCCAGCAGGGTTCGGGGCTGGGGTGGGGTGGGGGTGAGGGCAGAGGTGGAAGCTCAGGTAGCTGGGTCACAGCGGCTGGGCGGGGCTGGCGGGTGGAGCGGGGGTGGAGGGCCGGCTGACAGCTGGTCCGGATCGCGGCGGCGCCGGGAGGGTAGGAGGGAAGCTGGTGAGCCCGCAAACCGCAGCCTGAGCCCTGGCCCGGCCCGCCTGGCCCCCGCACCGCCATGCCCTTGGCTTTCTGCGGCAGCGAGAACGACTCGGCCGCCTACAAGGTGGACCAGGGCGTTCTGAACAACGGCTGCTTCGTGGATGCGCTCAACGTGGTCCCGCACGTCTTCCTTTTCTTCATCACTTTCCCCATCCTCTTCATCGGTAAGCCTGAGCGTGCCAGGCCGGGGAGCTGGGGTTGGGGAGGGTCTGGAGAGGGGAGCAGCAGCTGGGGGCCCGAGAGGGAGCGCTGACTTTCCTCTCACTTTTCCCAGCTACCCCACAGGCTTCCCTACGCCCGCCACCCCGAGCCTCTCCCTGCTCTCCTGCCCTTCTCCGTTCGCCCTTCTCCGACACTTCTTGCGCCCTTTTCTCCTCCTTGCTTCTCCCCAGGCAGCTCTTCCTCTCCGAGTCCGTTTTCTTCTGTATCCTTTCATTCTTCCTGTCTCCCAGCCCCACTTTGTGCGCTCCAAGCCCCTTCCTCTGTTTGCGTTCCTGCCTCAGCTACGCTGTCCTCCACTCCTCCCCAGGCTCCTTTTGCTGGGGCCTTAACCCTGAGGGAACCTAACTTTCATAGGTCCTTGTTCAACTTCCTTGGTAACCCCCAAACCCTTAACCCCAGAAAGGTCCTCCAGGAGATAACAGGTTCTTCCCTCTTCCTCCGCGGTCCAGCCAGCCCCCCTCTTCCCCTCCCTCACCCCCAGAATGCCCCAGGTAATATTAATGTGGAGGAGGGGTGGCAGTGAAAGTGGAGAAGGGGGGGAATTGGGAGCTCAGGTTCCCAGGGCTGAAAGTGGGGCCACACAGCTCGTTCTGTGAGAAGCAACTGGACTCAGAGTGGGCCCAGAGAAGTCCCAGGTAACCAGGCCGTCTTCCTGTCCCCTCTTCCAGTGCCATTGAAGGTCTCCCTCCTCTTCCTTCCCTACTTTCCCCTCTTCCCAAAGTGCAAGTCCTGGCTAGACCTCAGAGCAGCCCCCAAGAGGGGAGGAGGCTGTTATCTCCAGCCTCCCCTCCTCCCCAACACTTCATCTCAGTGAGATGTCGTCAGTCCCATGTTCGACTAAGTCTCCAGGAGCTGGGGGCTTCGGGAAAAGGTAGAAACCTAGATCAGGGAATGCCTGTGCCCTGGGGTACATTACTACTATTTAGATTCAGAGAAACAGTGCTGAAGTTGGAGTCAGGAAACCTGAGTTCAAGTGCTCACTTTACCAATAACTAACCCTGTGACCTTGGGCCTCTTTTTCCTCATCTGTTAAAAAAAAATATTAAGGGTTAGACTAGCTACCCCCTATGGACTCCTTCAGCTTTATATCAATGACCATAAAGTCATTATGTCAGAGGTTGAAGGGACCTATGAGACTACAGATCATAACCCTATCATTTTTCAAATGTGTTAAATGAGGCTCACAAGTAAAATGACTTACCCAAGTCATTCAAATACGAAGAGTCATGACCAAGCCTTGAACCATCAAACTGGCGCTCAATTAAATGATCTTTCCCATGAAGCCATACTGCATGCCTCCTTTTTAACTGTATAGCCAAGCTTAGCGTTAATCCAGATGCCCTGCTAGCCTGGCTAGGCCTGGTTTTCAGAATTTAACCAATTGCTGGGTATGTCTTAAAGTAGCATATATTTTGGTTGAGTTTTTTAAAATTTTCTTTTAAATTGTATTTTTTTTAATTCCACATTCTCTCTCTCTCCCCCCATAACCTCCCCCACCCATTGAAAAAGCAAGAAATATGATGCCATATATATAATATATATATATATATATATATATATATATATATATATATATATATATAGTCATGCAAAACGTATTTCCACATTAGCCATGTTCACCCTGCCTCCTAAAAAAGCAAGAAAAACAAAGGAAAAAATCAGCTTCAACCCTGACTCTGAGTCCATCAATTCTTTGTCAGGAGGTTGATAGCATTTGATATGACGAGTCCTTTGGAGTTATGGCAGCTCATTGTGTTGATCAATTATTAAGTCTTTCACAACTGATAATCTTACTATTGCTATTACTGGGCAGAGTATTCTGCTTCTGCCCACTTCACTTTTCATCAGCTCATATAGGTCTTCTCAGATTTTCTGAAATCATCCTCTTCATCATTTCTTATAGCACAGTAGTATTCCATCACATTCATATACCATAACTTGTTCAGCCATTCCCCAATGGATGGGCATCTCCTCATTATCCAATTCTTTGCTACCACAAAAAGAGCTGCTAAAAATATTTTTGTACATATTTGTATGAATTTGTACATATGAATATGGGTTCTTTTCCTTTTTTTTTTTAGTCTCCTTGGGATACAGACAGCATCTATTGCTGAGTTAAAGCATATGCAGTTTTATAGCCCTTTGGACACGGTTCTAAATCAGCATTTCCAGCTGAATCAAAATCTAGATGTTCCCCTTTGGAGATGCTATAGCAGGGACTCATCCATGGGGTTAATGTTGGGCTAGATCATTTTTCTAAGCCTGCTTCTAGGTCACAATAGGGCTTCCTGAGTCTACACTCATACTACATGACTGCATGAAGGTATGCATGTACCAGTGCTTGCTCCAGAAGTCAGTATTACCAACTCAAGTTTTGCAACATACCAGGGTGTTTTTATTATGTTGGTGGTGTCCATGTTCTTTTAAACATCTTGATTTTACTTTAATTTTCAAATAAAAAAAGTATGTCCTACAGCATTTTTAGAGGGAAAGGAGTGTTACAAAATTGAATAAACATCAGTAGTGATGCAACTCCCACCGGTTGATAACACACAAGTATCAGAGGTACCATATGTGCAGAGTATGCTGTAGCCAGCTCCAGTGGCCTTGAGCCTATAGTTAAATTTTCAGTGTGAACATCTATACCGTAGAAATTGGCCAATGGTATGCTACAAGTCAAGTCTTGATTCATTGTTTTGTTTATTATCCAGACTTAAGGTAGTGGTGGGATAAAATGTTAATAAGGAAAATTAAACTTCAAAGTGTGTTATGCATATGTTTTTGTTAATATTAAACATTTACCAACACACCCCTGCATATATATGATACACACACACCCATTGGTGAGCACTGGCCCTCAGTAGGTCAGTAAATATAGCCAGCATTTATACTTCTGATTTCTTTTTTATTCAGTTTATGACTTCTGTCTTTAACTAACTATAGGATCATAGATTTAGAAGTGAGAGGAACTTTAAATACCACCCCAACACCATTTTACAGATAAGGAAACTGTGTCACAGAAAAGTTAAATGACATCCAGCTTACCCAGCTTGTAAGTTGTTTTGGAGGGATTTGAATCCAGATCTTCCTAGAAGAAGCTAATGATGTTCAGCTTGGAGAAAAGAAGACATAAGGGAGATATGACTGTTTTTAAGTATTTGAAGTGCTATTATCTGCTTGATGAAGAATGAAACTAGGAGTAACACTTCAATGATCCTGTGATCTCATCAATGGGAGTATTCCCTCCATCATTCCAAATTGCAGCCTATCCATATTTTCTAATCCTATGTCATTCTTGTTCATATTCTCCTCCAGCTCTCCAATCACTATATTGGAGGCTTTCCTGTAGTTCTCTGTACATTGCATAGGTATCAGTGGGGTGCTCAGGCTGTTCATCTGTTGACCCTTACCCTCACCACCTGCCTGGACCACCCAATTTTCCAACCATACATTTCCTCAATAATATGCCTTAAGGATGCTTTTGTTTAGTGACAAGCTCCCCCCTGAAACAAAGCACCACCTTTTTAAATACCAATATTCTTCTGATAACATTGTATGGTTGTAGGTCACTGGAATGCTGCAGTCTCCAAAGAATTGAGGTTAAGTCACCCAAATGGCAATTAAGAGATGTGTGGTGGGCTTGAGTAAGTTGTGACACATTACAGAAGAGGAGTTGTAAAGGAGAAGTGGTATAAAGGATGGCACCATAGAAATGGACAACGAGGAAAAGAGATACATAGGTCATGTAGCCCGAGTGAGGAATAGAACCAGTGGGTAGCCCAAGTACCCATTGGTATCCATGCAATGTTATGAGATTTGGAAGAAGGCTCCCGGAATGTTGGGTAGACCCATCTCCTGTGACAAATTTCTTGGAGGACACAGACAGGAATCACACAGGACAGACAGGCAGAGATAACTTGCCATCTGCATCATTAGAAGGAAGCATCCATATCAAGGAGATCAGTACTGGCAAAGCATTTTAGCAAGAGTTTCTAATGTCATCCACAGAACTAGAGACAAGGGATAGAAAATGTGTAAATTTCAGCTCAGTGTCAGAAAGACTTCCTAACTTCTAGAGCTGTCAAAAAATGTGGAGTGGGTTGTCTTGTGAAGTAGTGAGTTTCTCAATGCTGGATATATTCAAATGGAAGCTAGATGACTTCTTATCAGATATATTGTAGGAGGCACTCCTGTTCAAGTACAGGTTTGGCTAGGTGCCATCTGAGTCCCCTCCAACTCTGAAATTCTGTGAATAAGCACCCTTACTAAGCAGCTAAGAACTGAGGAGGCTTAATCCCTTTCCTGGCAAGGAAACTTCTTTTACTATACAGGTTGGTAAAAATAAGAGAAGAGAAACTAAACATACATACCAAAAAAAAAAAGAAGAAGACATTCAGCACATAAGTTCTGTGTGAGTAATGTCACCTTCTAGACCCTGTGTTCAATACTGTCTCAGTGTCTCTTCATATCCTTCCACCTTCTAGCCACTCTTACCTTTCCTAGAAATGTCTCTTCTCCTAAATGTCTCCCCCACTTCCAATCCTTCCAAGAGGATCTGCAGTCTAAGTCCAAGACTTAGAGTCCAAAGATCTGAATTCGAGCCCCAGTTCTGACATATGCTGGTGGTGTGCTGTTGGGCAAGTCACTTAACCTTGCTAAGCCTCAATTTCCCCATCTGTAAAATGTGATAATATAATATTTGTATTGCTTCTCTCATCAGAGAGTTATGAGAAAAGTGAAATCTGAAGCGTTATTATTTCAGGGAGCCCCATATGAGAGAACAACGGGTCTTCAATGTTCATAGAATCAAAATGTCAGAGCTGGAGGGAAAATTAGAACCTAAAACATAGTAGGAACATAGAACTATAGCATATTAGAGCTGGAAGAGACTAAAATTTAGAACACAGAATGTAATACCTAGGACTGAGAACCTGGAATGTCAGAGCTGAAGGGACCTTTAAAACCATCCACTCTACAAAGGATTAGATTGAGGATTAAAGGCAAGTGACTTACCCAAGAGTTACATGGCAAAGACAGTACTCAAACTCAAGATTCTAAACTCTAGGTCCGTGACTCTCTTTATCCAGACTATTTCCTGGTACTGAATTTTGGTAAAGCACTTAGCACAGCGTCTGGCACGTAGGAGATGCTTTGTGAATGTTAGCTATGACGATGGTAGTGGTGGTGATGGTGCTAGTGGTGGAGGTAGTGGTGATCTTTAAAAGCGTCTCTCATAGTACTGATACACAGGAAATGGTATCAGTGGACCCCTCAGAATCAGGAAGAACTGGATCCAAGTCCTGTCTCTAATACATCCTGGCTATGTGACTCTATGCAAGTCACATAATCTCTAAGGGCCTCCAGGCAGCTCCCTGCGACCCTAAATTACATAACAGCTACCAATCTGCATTGCTAGGGGGAGTCCCTCCAGTGGATGATTCCTTATCCTAATGAAATCATCAGTTTCAGACAATCAATTCATACAAGCATGCATTTACCACCAATTGGTCAACAAGCCATTATTAGGGCAGCTCCTTGGTGAATTGGATAGAGTACCAGACCCTGAGTCAAGATACAGCTGGGTTCAAATGTGGCCTCGGAAATATATTAGTTATTTTGCTAGCTTATTAGCCCTCAGCTTCCTCATCTGTAAAATAGGGATAATTATAGTACCTACCTCTCAAGGTCACTGTGAGGATAAAATGAGATAATATTTGTAAAGCAGTTTGCAAACCTAAAAGAGCCTGATTATTATTGTTGTTGTTACTATTATTATTAAGTGCCTACTATGAGCTAGGCACTGGGCTTGGACTGGTGATGTAAGAACAAAAGTGAAATGGTCTCTGCCCTCAAAGAGCTTACATTCTATCATCTACATAAATATCTGCACGCTGATCTACATGAAACCATGCCTTCATCATTTCTGGGGCTGTGACTGAGCTGTTCATTCTCTTCAGGATGGGGCAGCCAGAGTGCAAAAGTTCACATCCATCATAGCACGTGGCTTCACTTCCCTGGCCACAACCTTCGCTGGATCCTCACCTTCATGCTGCTCTTTGTCCTGGTGTGTGAGATTGCAGAGGGTGTCCTCTCCGATGGGTAAGTGGGGCCTCCTTGTGGCAGGGAATTATTTCAATGACTTAGGCAGGTGTCCTGGGTGTCTGACTCCTCCTTTCTCCTTCCTTCTTCCCTCTGGAGTAGGGGAGAGGGAGAGCTGTTGGATAGAGTACCAGATTTGTCAGGTTCAAATCTTGCCTCTGACCCTTATTGGCTACATGACCATGGGCAAGTGAGTTAACGTCTCTGAACCTCAGTTTCTGTATCTGAAAAATGAGAATGATAAAACATGTAGCTCCTACTTTGTAAGTGTGAAGAGCAAATGAAATACTGTATGTAAAGCATTTTACCATCATTAAAATCTGCTGTTATATATTAAGTAATCACTCTCCTGCAGGTTGACCAAGTCACAGATAGACAATGTAGTGTGGTGGAAACAGGGCTATACAGAGCCAGAAGACTGAAGCTCTTAGGCTGCCACTTCTACTTTTTGAGCTTGAATTTCCTTCATCTAGATGGAGATGAGATAGTCCCCCAAATCCCCTTCTGCTGAACAGGAATCTACAAGTCTATGATTCTAGCTGGGAGTCTTCTACAGCTTCTTTGGAAGCAAGTCCTTTGCGCTTTCTGGGTCAAGGCATCCTCCTCTCTAAAATGATGGAGTTGGACCAGAAGGTCTCTGAGTCACTTCTATCTTTGTTGTTTTACTGTCTTTCCAATGATTACCCTCCATACACACACACACACACACACACACACTCACACACACACACACACACACACACACACACACATGCACTCCTCTGTATAACAAGTAATTACAGTCAAAACAAATTGACACACTGACTATATGTGACAAAATAAGCTGTATTTCTTACCTCTGGTCCACCAACTCTCTACCAGGAAGGATTGTGGGGGAGGGTCTTCACTGGAATAGTAACTGGCCACCTGCTCTTATTTCCAATGCATTGTATGACTAATGGTTACATGGAGCAGTTGACATGTCAGAGCCTAACATAGTTGGGCAGGTGGTCATTGGCTCAGAGCTAGGGTAAATAGCCACATATAATAGCTAGGATTATCACTTTTGTTCTTTCTGTCCATCCTCCTGAACCCTTTTCCCTGAGCTCAGTGCTTCTTTACAAGACTGGGATAAGGGAGCATAATGCACCTGGGAGGAATGTTGATTATATCCTAAAAGTCCTGGGAAGCAACCATTTTGATCTCTTGGTCCCTGTGTCCTGGACCCAAGTGGTCCAAGCTGATTCTCAGATTAACAGAAGCCCTGTATGCCACTGCTGGTGTGGATGCTACTGATATCTGGGACTTCGGGCAAGCAGAGAAAACCTTCTGTGACCAAGTTTTCTGATCTGTGAATTGAGGAAAGCCTTCATGATCGTCCTCTTTCCTTGGAAGTGGAGAAGATGAGCAGTGTGCTGCAGGGTAGATGTTTCAGAAAGAGAAATTCCCCAGCTCTAAGTGGCTACAAAGCTATATTGCATTCATCTAGCGAACACTTACTGAGCACTCACTGTATTGAGGGTCTTGTGCTAGCAGCTATGGCAGAGCCAAAGATGAATCACAGAGAGTGCCCATCCTCTGAATCTTCACACTGTGGTAGAGACATGTTAGAACATAAGGCAGACTGTGATCTGTGCCATTGGAGGAGCCATTCTGGAGGCTTCAGTCATGGGTATACATGTGTGCCTATGCACACACAGCCTCACGTCTGGCTGCCTTAGCTCTCTATCAAGAAGCAGTTCTGCTGGCCCTGGGAAGCAGGTTTCCTGGCTCCACCATCTGGAGCAAACTCTCTGATAACAGATGCCAACTAAATGCTAGGGGCACTAGCTGGAAACAGCCTCTTCCCTCTCTAGAGTTTAAACTTCTCCTTAGTAAAATCAGGACCTCTGGGCAGAGGCTTTTCCTGGGAATATTAAAGATCTTCAAAGCTTCCAAGAAGCTCTCAGGCTATGAGACTAATGAATTCATCAAGTTTCACTTACTCTTATAACTCCCCAAGACAATCATAGAAACTTGGAACCTCAGAGTCAGACAAGATCTTAGGCTATCTAATCAAATCTCTTACTGTGCAGGAATGCCCTCTTACAAACTCCCCAATAAATAGTCATTTAGAGAAAAGAGATAAGCAAGACCCAGAAGCAAATGAACATAGTAGCCTAGTGTTTGATAAACCAAAGAATCTCTGTGATCCTATAACCTGAACATGAACCACTGGGCCAAGGATACCCTATTAGACAAAAACTACCTGGAAAATCGGAGAAAAATATTGCAGAAAATTGGATGTAGACCAACAGCTTACACCACATACTAGAACAAGCTCCAAGTGGATCTGGAATCTAAACATAAAAGACCACATCATTTTAATGGGAAGAGAATGGAAGAAGGCACCTAACAATTCTCCTAGGAAGTGACAGTGAAATGAAAAAATAGGATCAATAAAGCATTTTTTTAAATGGCCATCCACCTCTCCAAGAAGACCTCCATTGAACAGAACTGACCGCCTCCTGAGGCGTTCTAGTTTTAGTCAGATCTAATCTTTGGGATTTTTCTCATGCCTTAGGCACAGCTCTACCTACATCTGTTCAGCCTCCACCCATTTTCCTTCTGGTGCCTGGTAGAACAACTTTAATCCTACCATATGACCTCCCTTCAAATACACAAGGAAAAGTAATACATTCCTCCCAGGCACTCAGTTCCTTCAACTGATTCTTGTAAAGCATAGTCTCCAGTCCTCACCTTCCTTTGGATTTTCCCTAATTTATACAGGAGTCCTTATTTAAATATGGCATTTAGAACTCAACCTGTGATCTTACCAAGGCAGAATACCCTAGGACTATCGGTAGATCAGTACGCATTTATTTAGGGCCTTCTGTGTGTCGGGCACTAGGTTAAACACTAAGGATGCAAAGACAAAAAGGAAGAATTCCTTACCCTCATGAAGTTCGAATTTTATCAGGAAAGCAACATGTACAGCTAGAAATAAACACAAAATATGTTGGTTCTTAGTTCACTCATCTGTGAAGTGAGGTGTTGGTACAAAATAGCCTCCGAAATCCCTATGTATCCGTAACCCTGCTGCTATAAATACAAAGTCATTTGGGGTGGAGGCACCAGCAGCTGGGAGGGCAGAGGGGGAGTCAGGAAATAAGAGGTGAGACCTATATAAGAGGTGAGCTGAGCTTTGAAAGGAGGCAGAGATGAGAAAGGAATATATTCCGGGCATAGTGGACAGTGTGTGCAACCACAAGGAGTTGGGAGATAAAATGGTACATGTGAGCAACAGCAAGAAGGCCAGTTTGGCATAAAGGAGAACAATAATACTGGCCAGAGCTAGGTTGTGATATTTGTATTTTAAGCCAGAGGCAATAGGGGCAGTTAGGTGGTGTAGTGGATAGACTGCCAGGCCTAGAGTCAGGAGGACCTGAGTTCAAATCCAACCTCAGATACTTAATAGCTGTGTGACCCTAGATAAGTCACTTCACTCTATTTGCCTCAGTTTCCTCATCTGTAAAATGAGCTAGAGAAGGAAATGGCAAACCACTCCGGTATCTGCCAAGAGAACTCCCAATGGGGTCCTGAAGAGTCAGACACAACTTAAAAATGACTGAACAACTGAAAACAGGGATCCACTCGCATTTATCGAACAGAGGAGTGACACGGTCAAGCAGTGTTTAAGGAATATCACTTTAGCAATTACGTGAAGGGTATATTGAAGAGAAGAGAGGCCAAAGGCAAAGAGACCCTAGCTATCACAATAGCTCAGGGGCGAGGTGGTGAGGGCCTGAACTAGCTGGTGGATGCATCGTGGAAAGAAGGGGACGGATGTGAGAAACATGTTTATGGTAGGATTAACAAGACTTGGCAACTAATCGGCTGTGGGGGAGGGAGCGTCAAGGATGATTGAGGAGTCAGAGATAACTCCAGATTCTCAAACCTGTGCTTAAAGGTAGAGAATCGTTCACGTTTGTCTTTGCATCACCAGTGGCTAGCCCAGGCCTAACAGAAGTCACCCAATAAATGCTCATTGATTGAAAGGATGGTAGTGCCTTCAAAGGAAATGGGGAAATTAAGAAGGATGGGTTCAAGGGTGGTGGAAGGAGTGGGGGCTAGAGGGAGATCATGAGTGCAGTTTTGAACAATGTTGAGTTTAATATGCCTACTAAATATCCAGTGAAAATATTTAATAGGCGGTTGGTGATGCAGGCCAAAAACTCAGGAAAGAAAGTGGGGCTAGCTATGTAAATCAGAGCATTTTATGCACAGAGGTAATAATTGAACCTGTGGGAGTTGATGGCACCATTCTGTGCACCGTATTTATATTAATGTACCTTCAAACTGCCTCAGCCAGTAGATGAGAGGACGATAGCTCTGTGAGCACACAGCCTGAGATCCCAAATTGAACGTACATCCAAGAAGATTCGGGGGACCTGTGTCAGTTGCCAGTATCCCTGTCTCTCCTGCTGACTGGCAGCTCTTGCCACTTACTTGGCTACACTGGAAATCCTGACCCTCCTGACTCAAAGAGATGTCTTCTCTGAAGAAGGATTGTGTCCTCGTTATGAATTATTGCTATTCAATAATAACGAGTCATTATTTAATGTCTCGTGGGCTTTGTGCCCAGCTCCGTACTAGGGCATATAAAGGGAGAAAAAGTCCCAGTCTCTTTGCTTGTTTTTATTTCTAGCTGCTGATTGGATCTTCCTGGGAATAGTGCCTTCTCCAGACTCCTGGGGCTTTATTTACTAAACCAATCAATAAACAGTTATTGAAGAGCCAACTATGTGTCAGGCACTATACTAGGCACTGGGAGTACATATACCAAAGGAAGACAGTGTCCGCCCTCAAGGAACGTATGGTCTGTACAACATGTACATATAGAACATATGAGGCAGCCTTACAAGGGAATTTTGATCTGGGCAGTCACGGGGATTGGGAATGGGGTCATGAAGCAATAGACTGTCACACTTTTCTTGTACCAATGGGAGTATGATTGTGTTATTGATCCCAGAGCAGGAACA